TTCACTTGCAGGTGGTAACTATGATATAGTTTTTCACTTGCAGGTGGTAACTATGATATAGTATGAGATCTACATTCAAGGAATCTGAATATATTTATGTAGAAAAATGTCAGCGTGTTGGCCATATTTTTAATTGTAAGAAATTAATTTTCAAGAGAAAAAGAACAAAGAAAAGAAATTAGAGATTTGGAAATACCGTAAGTAGTGGTAGCGACTGGACTACTCTAATTTTGATGTATATTTTGAAAATAAATGATGGGAAAAGAGCGCTTGCGAAAGGATATCTTCAGGTAGAAGGACATAGCTTCGAGCGAGAGGAGACACCTTCAAAGCTGTTAGACAGAAGCAAGTACATCATGGTTGGAAATAGAACTCCAACTAAGAAGAAATCAGAAAGAAATCAAGAAGTGAAATTACCTCCATGCTGCAATTTGAAGCCCAATTAACCTTCATTCGAAGAATAACTGATGCTCAGTCTGGTGGCTTTCTCACTTTATATTTAATCCTGTTACATTCAAGTTACATTCGTGGATTCCCGAATGCAAAATAATTCAATCCCGTTACATTCAAGTACTAAATCAGACGCCGTTGACTATCATACAGTTGACAAAAACAGCATCAAGAGAACTTTTAATTGTTCCCCCTACATGCTCACCTGATATCCATCATCTATCTTCTTCTTAAATTCTTTTTCTGTTTTTGCATTAAGAACAATATGACATGCAATGTTACACATCCGTGGTTCCCTCATACGAAACTGCACAAAACCTTCTGTTAGACCGAATTTTAACAATTTAGGGACATCACGGATTTCAATCATCATGAAATGAGTAGTGTACCTCATAAACAGAGTTTTCAAGAGTAAGACAATATTAAAACATATAGAGCACTCAGCGGCTTGGTAAAAAAGTATGACTTTATACATTTTATTTCATTTCTAACCACCAAACTGATCAAAGTAGAATTTGTGTAAGCAAATCACCTGTTAGAAAGAGTATAAAAGGAATGCCAAACATAGAGAACCCTACAAAATAAATAACATTTCATTCATCTATCAAATATAATTAATATATGGAAACGCATGTGTATAGTCTGATTCCAATGTATGAAGCCAACTGTGAAAATATTGAAGCCTACTGTTCGAAAAGTTTGAAGCCTACTGTGAAAATCTTTAAAATCTCTGCAACGCCCTTCAAAGCTAAAACAATTGTGTCTGTGTCAATATAGCTTGCTGGTTAACTATGAGCTGGGAAAATAACAACAAACTCAATAAAATCACATTGATTGGAGTCTGGATAAGATGTGTGCACACACACTTTGAGTCCCTTTCAATAAACAAAAGGAACATTGATAAACATGTAAAGGGAAAAAGGGTATCTACACATGCCACTGCAAGTGTGGGAGTGTGTAAGCTCTGTAGAAAAAGTGACCGCTGCCTACACATGCCACTGCATAGTACGGAGTATTTGTTTAGGGCAAATAATACATAACTAATCAACATTTTGCCATAGTTTCATTTACAAAACACTTGTTCCAAAATTGTAAAGAAATGACCCAAACCCGATAGTTTGACCATCAGACTTGTTATCCTTCATAATCTTTATAAATAAAATGGCTCTGTAGACCTGAAGCAACATCTAAACCATGGAAGCGGAATGCAAAAATTGGTAGGTAAGTGATTATTTCGTCTAACCGACGCAACT